TCACCTTTTTCTCGATGTCTTCGTGATCGTCGTCGACACCCTTGCGATCATCCATCTTTCAGGTTTGAGATGTAACGATGTCACACATGTGGATCTGGGTACGAGATCAGGCTACCATAGTAACGTGCCAGAGATCAAGGCTGGTTTTTTTCTTTTTTTTTTTTAACTTTTTCATTTATTTACTTATTATTTTACTCGTTTCGGTCGTTTCGTTTCGGTGGTTTCATTTCGTTGTTTCGGGTTTTAGTACATGCCCTACGCGTCATGTTAAAAATAAATACTCTAGTGCGAAATTTATTATGAACTAATGAGATAACTTAAGCCTTTCAGTTATTTCTAACAAGCACTTTTAATAATTAGTTCTGTGTAGATTTTAATGGACTCCTGCCAAAATGCGACTGCGAGTACAGGAAATTGAATTTCAGATTCAAATGTTTATGATGTGCTTGGTTTCAAGATTTAACCGCCATTTTTCCAGACCTTTGGTTTTTGTTACAGGTTTTCATTTGATTTGAAATCACATCATATATTTGTATACAGTTTAGATGGAGTTTTCACAATTCTACTCCTGCTTTTATGTTACAAGTGACTTAAGAGGCTGTCTCTGTAAAAACCGACCACTGATTTTACTTCGAAAATTCGATTTTTCTCATAAGCTGGGATTTCGAAGCCCTTCCCTAATCAATCGCTAAATTGAGTTTGATTTGATTAAAAATTCTAATTGAACTTTTCTAGGATTGATTGAAGTTCGGTCCGCTCGACACAAGTTGCATGCCTGCCGAAACTGGAAAAATAGCACATATTGCCGGCGCTCTAAAAAAATTAATATTCGCTCAAAAGCCCCAATTCTTTCTTACAACTATAGATATATCATAGCGGTTTGTTTAGCCATGTTGCAATTATAATTCAATGTTGTTCCTTCAACGGTTAAAAGAAGATTTTCTGCCCGTTAAATCGAGTTTGAACCGAACACGAAAATAGCTCTACTTTGAAGGCACGTTTTAAAAATGTGGCACCTGTTTGAAACTGCTGAACTACATGAATAGAAAGTATAAATGGCCCTTAATTTAAAGCAATAATAAAATTTGTCTGCCTACTAGGTTTTCAAAACTAACGACCGCTTAAACTTCAGGAAATTTTGAAAATTTTCCAGTGAGTAACTAACATAGTCGCCTTCGTAAAGTGCTCCGATAAATTCACGTAAATCTCTTACCTGACTTCAAGATTAAAGTTTTGGTCCTTTGTAGTGATCCTTGAAACCTAGGTAGCGGTAGGTTTGTACATTTATACTTTCCTCATCTGTGTCGAGCGTGACCGTAACATACTTCGATGTTCTTTGTATTGCTGACCATTGTTTTCCTCGAAGCCGGTTTAATCATGTAGAGTCCTCTTGAAAGGTTTGTAGAAGCACACTTTTGGACAACTCTCGGTACACATACATGTATGAGCAGTAAACGGTGATCCGGGGATCCAAGGAAGGATTGATAAATGCCACGGCCATTTTGTGTTTACAACAGGTGTTTTAGTTCCCAATCTTCCCGTGAGTATCGCATCATCATGATTCCCATTATTAATTCTTTAGAACGCTTGAAATGTTTGTTATGGTTACAGTGGCTGAGCCTACCTCTAACTTTGACTGAGTTTTGCAAACAAATGAACGGTAAAACTGAAAAATTGGCGACAAGCTTTCTGGCGTTCCTTAAATTTGGTTAGAAAAAGCATGGCCACCTGGTTTAGTTCAATATTAAGAATATTACGGGTTTTATTTCCTTTTTAATTCGTATACCCTTCAATGGTGTTAAAATATATTAAGTGATTAAATATTGACTTGAATAAATATCGAATTGCACAAAATCTTTTTTTCTCAAAAAAAAAAAAAGAAAGAAAAAAATATCCCACCAACTGACCATTCAAACAGTATACAGCGAGAAGTCTCACTGACTGAAAAAGTCATTGCTCAGAGCCAAAATGGAATGGATTCCCTTATTTCCTTATGTCTATGCTTGGTAGAGTGCTGACCATCGGTTGTGGACCTGTGATTTAACATGAGAAATGCTGAAATATCGATCTTTCAGAGCGAGGAGTGTGATACGGTATGTCTCCAGAATAGTGCACATACATGTATCCCTCAGATAGGTCATATGCCAGTTATTGACTTGTTATAACCAATCAATCGGAGAGTTCGATCCTTGGCTGCACTTGCACCGTTGCACTCTTTGGCCTATCGATGCAAATAAAATTGTATGAGGAGGAATATTTGCAAGATCAACTTCCCTGATATTTTTATACATTTTTTATTTGTCAGAAAATAGTATTTGATGTTACTATTAGACAACTCCACGTTATTACATTACGTTGTTTTATTGGGAAAGGAGGGTATATGATCTCAGTAAACAAGAAAAACCTGAAAACAAAACAGGATGGTGAAGAGCCTTGATGTGCCTATGTGCATCTTTGTCACGATGGTAACAAGGTTAGTTCAAGGAATTTAAAAATAATAGCTTATTTAAATATCATTGATCCCCAAGGAAAGAACATTACCAAACTATGAAGTAAAAATCTAATCTAGCAGCTCAAACCTTTTGTTGATCCACAAGATCTCTGCGATCAGTGTCATGAATGCAAGAATTATTCCAACACCCATCACAACATACACTCCCAGCATTACTCTCACATCGATACGCTTTCGGGACAAGGCTGAAAAGGAGAAATAAAGTTTACTTCTCAGCATTTTGAGAGGAACCTGTCTATCAAAATATCTAAATAGACGAATTCGTTGGCTCTCTCGGCAAAATGTCCGGTTTTTTTGTTTAATGTATTACTCGGCCATGCCAAAGAGTGGTGCTTCTCAGCTTATCAATTTGATAAAAACAAGTAGCAAAGAGTTACTTCACTTATGTGTTGCAACATCATCAAGTGATTTTAATACACCACTTTCCATCTAAGCAGACAATAGTAATACTAATAGCAATAATAATAATATTAATAATATTAATAACAATAATAATAGAAAAAAAAACAATGGAAAATTACTCTAAAACTTTACAATAATAATAATAAACAAAATAATTCGTTAGCTCTCTCTATAATAACAATAATACTAATACTAATAATAATGATAATAATAATAATAACAATAATATAATAACAACAATAATAATAAACAAGCCGAATGTGGGGCACGAGAACGGAAACAATACCAGTTATCATTGGAGCACTTGGAACTATCAAAAAGGGACTAGAAACTTATCTTGGAAGAATTCCCGGCCAA